AGAGAGAGAGACGCCAAACTCTCCCCTTCTTAGATCTTCTCATCATCAGAGAAACGTTTTCGTTCAATTTCGAAATCTATAGGAAACCAACAAATACAAAGAGAGTAATACCAAGCACTTCAAACAATTCCCATCAACACAAAATGGCCGCTTTTCACCACATGGTTAACAGGATGCAAACCAAAGATAAGCAATTATAACGGAATTTAAAGGAAATAAACCAATACACTCAAAGCTCTTCATAAACAATTAAAGTTAGTTTTGGCACAGAAAAACAGACGTAACACTTCATTGTGTATCTTCGTTCACGCATATAACGGTTGATTTGAATATTATCAGTTCCACGAATTACTCGCCGCAGCGCTGGCATCGGATCGCTTTGACGTTTCTATACATTCTATAGAACTTTTATGCAATATTGTTTGCGAGTTAGCGAGCAATCTTGTTTTCCGCGAGAAGCCAGAATGATGTCGTTACTGAGGTCCTATGTTTTGAGATACTATGTTTTCAAAGTGTTACAACTGTTTGTCTGCGGTTTTGGCATCATTCATTTAATTTATCTCGCCTTAATATCCAAATCCGCGAACCTTGACCTTAACCCCAGCCATTAGGTTCTGCACGACCTCAAAATCGACAGATTTTTGCATATTAACCCATGCTTTCTTCATTTCTTCTACATTATTCACCACTTTAGGTTCATTTTGAAGGTGCTCCCTCATAATGGCCCAGTATTTTTCTATTGGGCGCAGTTCCGGAGTGTTTGGGGGGTTCAGATCTTTCGGCACGAAATCGATATCATTCGCCTTATACCATTCTAGCAAGTCCTTCGTGTAGCGGCATTGAATAATTTTCTTGTCGAAATTCGACATCTTCATACTTATCTTTGGCAGTCACATATAGGTTTCCTGGAATCTGGTTGAAGTTCGCCTTCACATATGTCTCGTCATCCATTACGCAGCATTGTGGTCGTACAACTTCCGGGCACGGCTTTTTGCGACCGTATTTTGTTTTTCGTCGCGGTTTGGGAACTTCTGAACCTTAGACGTACGTAGTCTAGCTCGAGTTTTGGTATTCTGCACGAAAGTCTTGCTGACATGCAACTTTTTAGCCACAACCCGAACTGAGGCGTTCAGTTTCCGTTTAAAGACCCCCCACAATCTCGTTGATCTGACGGCTTTTTTCCGGATCATCGCCTTCGATGAACTGTCAAACGTTCTTCGAACCTTTTTTATGATACCAGACACCGTGGAATTCGCAACTCTTTTTTTCCGATGGCACGATGCGATAGATCCTTATTCTCAAAGTACTCGTGCAAAACTTTTTCGCGCACGCACTGTTCTTTCGTCGCCATTTTGAAAACTTTTGCGCACCTGATGAAATCAACTCACAGAGTGTAAACAATACACATTGAAGTATGTCTACGCAAAATCTCAATTATTCTTACCTAACGGATCAAAAGTGAGAGCAATTTGAGTTTGTGCGCATTTTAGACGGTACACCCTTTAAATATATTAAATATTAAATAATTTTCGATTTATTTAATCAAAAAATAATTCAGTGAATTAATAATCGTCAAATTTTGAGATCATGTTTCTGTGACTGAGGGTAATTCTCACTGTTCGACTTGGTCAAGTTTAATAACCTCTAATTGTACTCAACCTGCAATTGTATGCCAGGTAAAAAACGGTTTGGGTGATGAATAGACCCTCTCTGTTTGTAGTGAAAGATTTCTCTTAATTACAGTGAGCTCTCTACAACTCGATACAGAAGGGACCATCGATTTATAGAATTATCGAGATATAGAATAACAATCCCCTACAAAATCGCTATCACAGTAGTAATGAAATTAACTTTTAGTATGGTTTACATCGAGTTGTAAAGAGTAGTTGGTTGCAGGCCGTCACAGTATCAGCTTCAATCGACAAAATCGATGCGACGAAGAGGCTGCTAGCTTTTTTGGGCTGTTGAAGTCGAACAGCTTCGCAGCATTCTAGCAACTCAGTGGGTGTCTACAAACAAAGTTTCAGTTGTTTTGACGTAGACTACGTATTACGGTAAGGTACTGGGGGTAAATCGAAAATCTAAAATTGCGACCATCACGAAAAGTTGTAAGGTTCTGAACGCTTATAACTTTGTGTTAGAGATGAACTAGCCTAAGGCTAAAAATCTCTAAAATAAAGTTTGAAAAAGAATTATAACTTTGTCATTTATAGATGAAATTAAAATCCAAATACACCAATCGATAGGAAATAACTTTCACAATCTGCTACAAACTGCTGGAAACCCTGCCAGGGGCGGGGCTTAGAAAGTAGTTTTTGTGCAGAATATGTAAAAAAGGAGAGAATTCGCATGTATTTTTTCTGCAGAATATGTAAAAAAGGAGGGACTTCGGAAGTTGCATACAAATTACAGATGCATTACTGTAAGAACTGTCAAAATCCGATGCAGATACACGCTAGTGTTCGTGAGATTCTGCTTGGCGAACTGAATTTGATGATTTTGGGCCGTCCCTGTGTTGAAGTGGGATCAAGAAAAAAATCATTTACATCTTTAAGCAGAGCTTTACATTATTGTTTGTTACCAAATTCATGCACCAAGTCGATTAGCGAGTTTCTGGGTGGTGCTGTGTTTAGTTCGGTCCAACAAAAATTAAAACTCTGAAAATGGGTTGGAGCGTCTTTGTGTAAATGCAGGAATGGCAAAAAATTAAGAGATATATTGCTGAATACTTGAAGTTCTAGTTCCTCATTATGTGCTTAGGACGCGGATAAATTCCTACTTAAGCTATCAAATGAACATTTAGAATGATGATCCCGCTTGGATGGACACATTTTTGATTGCTTGAAGCAGCACATTATGATTAAATATTGAACATGGACCAAACTTTCTAATTTTGTGAAAGCACAACTCTGAATATCAAATTTTCAATTATGCTGATGGGAAGAAAGTGAGGGGGCAATCTCAAGTAACCAAAAAGCCTGCTTAGTAATAATCCGACTAATAATGCACCAAAGCCCTGTATTAGTCGTATGTTAGCTTTAATCCAAATTAGCGGGCTTATTGGTTACCTCCCAAGTAACAAGTTGGGTTTTATGAGGGTACTGTAGACTATGATTGAGACTTGTAGATTTATTCAAAACCTCAATAAAACATACAATATTACTTGGGCTGGGATGTGCATTACATGCTTGTGAACAATTTCCTACCAGCGGCGCCGGTGGTGTAGTGGTAAGCGTGATTACCTCTCATCTCAGCAGACCTGGGTTCAATCCCAGTCGGCGCCGCCGGGATGTTCTGAGGCATAACATCTCTGATCACGCCTTCCTTCGGAAGGGAAGTAAAGCCGTTGGTCCCCGGTTCATGAATTGATGGGTCGATAGGTAGGGTCCAGGTGTGGGAGCTGCCTTCCTGGCGTCGGTAGCATTGGTGCTCAGCACGGGAAACAAGATCGACGGAAAACAAATCAAGGAAAAAAAACAATTTCCCACCGGAGGTATCCCACTGCGATCAAGCGTTTGGTTAAACGTGTTATACATAACAAATGTTCAACGGAGATGGGATGGGCATTGAAGTGTGCACGGGGAATAAATTTTATAACGGAGGATTGAAGACAAGTGTTTCATATGCGGAAATATCCCTAACGGAAAGTCCAGAAACAAACAGAAAAATAACTAATAAAGGTGAGGAAATTAATATTTCAAGAAGAGGAAATGGATTAAATTGAGGAAATAAGTTACTTCTACTGTATTTTAAATCAATATCAAGAAAAATGCATTAGAAGTTCACTAAACATTTCAACGTAGTCTACGTCAACCCCACCAATTTTTTCTCTCTTGCTTTATTGACCTTTCTTTCAAACTTCGATGAGGTGGTGAAAGAGGGTTCGACTTTGATAGTCTTTCGTGAAACACACGAACCGAGGATTCATAACATATATGACGGATAATGAAAATGTATATTTTATCCACAAATTTATCTAAAAAAAGATACGAAAACGGGACATAGCGCATATATAACAAATTGAAAGAGTGGTGACAGTGAATCGGTGAAAGGGATTGAAAGCCATAATGAAGATTCATTTCAACTCGAAAATCGACGTTACTTTCATTGAAAGCGATGAACAAAGCAAATTCGAGAAAATCCACAGCCATCCTTGCGTTCTAAGCGTGCTTTTTTTTCATTTTCGTTTCGTGATGATAGTCTAGCTAGGCGTTATAGAAATTATGTGTTGAACACGTTGCATGAAAGAAGCCAAACTCTATTTCATTTTGGAGCTCCAATTTATTTTCACAACATGATAATAAATCAGATGTTTCACGATTTTCAAAAAAACCTTCAGAAACGCTCGCTCACACTGAGAATTTAAATAAATGCTCGAATAAGGTTTTAACCAAATGTCACATCCAAGCTATTTTTTTTTTACTTGATTTGTTTTTCCGTCGATCTTGTTTTTCGTGCTGAGCACCAATACTACCGACGCCAGGGAGGCAGCTCCCGTACCTGGAGCCTACCTATCGGCCCATAAACTCATTAACCGGGGACCAAAGGCTTGACTTCCCTTCCGAAGGAAGGCGTGATCAGAAATGTTATGTCTCAGAACATCCCGGTGGCGCCGACTGGGATTGAACCCAGGCCTACTGGCCTACACCCTTACACTACACCACCGGTGCCGCTCTTCCAAGCAGTCCAAGTCTCATTAATAAAACATCATCTTACATTAAATTTACTCGAAAGCACCAGTTGTACAACCAAATACCAGTCGACATTTGCACAGTTTGTTCTACTTAAGTGAACCAAACGGACAATTTTATATTATAGATTTGAATCAGAAAATTCGATCGGTGGCCACAGTCAAATGTGATCAAAATTGTTTTCAACAACCTTCATAAGATAAGATTCCAGTCTAGATCAACAAAAGGCAGATCAAATTGCTGATTCCAATCGGTATTCACATGGATAATATGCCTAAAAAAAACATGACCGATTTCAACAATACTTACTTTAACTGAGTTGCATTAGCTGCACGCCACGCAACGGCTTACATTACACATTTTTTTTATCTAGTAGTGTACCAGAAATGCTATTCAACATATGCCGGGTTACACGATGGTTTCGGAAGACAACCTGCACAATCGTTGTTTGTACGAATGTTAACACACTATCAACACCATTAGTCGTTGCTACCACATAAAAGGTTCCGGTGCACTATGTATGTTTACTATGCAATTACTTCCAATGGTGCACTACACGATAGTCGCACATTTTTTTTTCCCCTCCCATATGCTAATCCATTGACATAATATTGATTTTCCGAATGCACACCGCGCTTCCTCAATAGTCCACTAGTACAGCCGTAAACTAGTTTCGCATCCCATTCATCACCCAAACAGACGACAGAACTAAGTGGGACACCGATCTTCTATTCTTCGTTGTTCACTTCATTAAAAGTTGTTCGGTTCCCGATGATTACTATGCAATCCGTTTATGGCTGGTCGTCCGCCAGGTTGAATCGGACCGATTTAATTGCAGATCAGCACTTGCACAGACACACCTTTTGCACTGTTTTTTTTTTCTTTCTTCAACTGATGGAACTAGTTATTTTTAGGTGCTTCAACCTGATTGATCGGAGTGATAAAATTGGAACACTTTTTTTATTATTATTTAAATACCACGATAAATTGAAACGGACAAAAACTGGAAGTTTTAATCTCAGGATGCGATCTCATTCAGGGTCAATCACACCTTTCTCCACATAACCATTACAGTTTCATTCTGCGCATCAGTTTCGATTTCACTTATTTGCATACGAAAATCCAATTAATTAAGCATTTTCAAAAACGTCACTCATGGAAACTTTTGGTTTCCTCTTTATTTAATCTTTCGTACCTCGAGTCACTTGTTTCGCAAAACTGTGAACACTCTCTCGACCAGCCGTTGATGGATCATTTATCCGCAAAGTCGTAGAATGCATTTGTACAAACATAAAAAGGCATTGATCCAGTTTAGGAAGGAAATAATGGCAATTAAACAATTCGCCTGCGCACTACGCGACGGTTGGCACTAATCAGCTTCACAACGCGGCTTTCGAAAAGGCAGCGATACGTTACAGAGCAACTCCTCGGAACCACGTGAAAAATACTCATAAACAATTTTCCATTTATTTACTATCTACGAACAGGACTCCGAGCTCGCTCCGCGATTTCCCAGCGGTACGTTTGTTCGTCGCAAAAGCTCAACGACGACTGGTTCTGCCGATAACGCGGTGCGCGAGATTAGCCAACCATGCGCTGGCGAACACGTTGTTGATGTAGTGTAGGTTGTGTGGCCTGGTTGGTTGCTGGTAGCAGTGTGGTCAAGTCTACGGATTTATCCGTTGATATACGGTTTTTCAGATTTTCTACAGATCTACGGACCGAACAGAAAATTCGACGGATTCTACGGATTCTCTAAATTTTGACTTATTTTCAAAAGTATTAACTTTTTGAATGATGAGGTTTGGAAATTTGTCATTTTATTTAGCAACTATTAATACAGTGGAAACAAGTTTACGTATCTACGGATCATACTCCATGAAAAGTCAACAACACTGGCTGGCAGTCGGCTAGGGCCAGAGGAGCCAGAGCGCAGTGGGAGATGCTGCTATGCCAACCGGCGAAAGAGTGCAATGGAGAAGCAATGATCGTCGCTTGGGTATGGTGAGGTGGTTTTCGGCTTGCTTTGTGGGGTTTGTTTTGATTCCGATCGAGCATAATGCGAATGGATTATTGTTGGATTCGGTGAGATGAGAAAAGCCGAAGCAATGGTTTCACTCTCATTTCGTGTATCATTTTGACTCGCTTCTCAAGCTGACTGTTGGTGGATTCTCCTGTTACACAGGTAAGCATCAAATATATAAAGCAGCGGTTATCAAACTGTTGTCGATGGCGACCCATTTTGAGAAATATTGAATTCAGATGGTGTAAGGCCTAAATTACCTTATAAACTTCAAAATGGATTTAAAACGCCATAAAGGCGTTCAAATTACATGATTGCCTGAACCCCAAAAGCAGAAACGTAGAACAAGTGACAATAGTTAGAAATGACCGACTTGCGCTATAACAATAAATCAGTAAAAAAAACGGCCTTGAATGATGATCAAAAAATACTGAAGGAGGTATCGAAGCGCATGAGTAGTACCAAAAACTTTTAGGAAAAAAAACACACCTCGATATTATAATCGTATTAGGAAATCATCCAGAAGAAAGGGCTAGGGATTCAAAAGTTATCATAGATTCCAAACAAACATTCATGGATCATTACACCCAACCGAGAAATGTAAGATTCTATTACAGATTTGCATGAAAATAATGCCGAATTTACAATGTTTCGCAACATGAACAGATTCTGTAATGTGGTCACCGGAAGGTTTACTATATAATTTTGTAATTTTTGTGTTAGCTTATTTTTCGAACAAAGTTTTTTTAACTCTTTATTTGTTCAAAATTAAAAATAAATTACATTTCATTTTAACCTAGGTGTTCCAGCTACTACAGTAACTTGCCAGCCTTAATTGTTATGATAATCTAAGTGTTTTAACATTGTTCCTGCTTTGGCAATTCAGTATCTTTTGAAGGTTTTTAAACCTGCAAGTCAGTATAACAATTGACACCTTAAAACTAAAAACTAAAACTAAATCTTATCTAAGTATAAAGGGAATTAATCATTGCAATTGAGAATTGCAACGATTATTTCTGAAATTATTAAATATTTTGTTGGACATTTGTTCTAAAGTCTCAACATTCAAAATTCTATGTACCTCGGTAGATTTAAAGGGAGGCAACTAGAAAATCATCTTCAGAACTTTGTTCTGAATCCTTTGAAGTGCTTTTTTCCTGGTAGTGCAACAACTGTACCATATTGGCACAGCGTAAGGCATGGCCGGTCTATAGACTTGTTTAAATATTAACCCTCAGTTACTCGCGCTGTTGTTCTTTGTACAACACACATGAGTTTTCCATTGCCATTTTGTTGCTGAGTTACCAATCGATCTGAAACCATAGTTGTTGGAAAATCATTTGCATTCATTTTGTGCATTCATTTACATTCATTTGCCTCTAACTTTTTTCTTGAACAGCATTCCGCAAATAATGTATTGAGTTTTTGTAGGTTTTGTTATTAGCTACAACTTTTGTTAACAAGTCAAATTTGTATCTTTTATGCATGACGAACCAGACATTGACATTGACCTCATTTTCGAAGACAGTAATTTTCTACCTGTTCAGAATCTCGAGTTTAGCAAACGCGAGAATTGTACACTAGGGTGTTTCATTCTGGAAAAAGATTGATATTTTTAATAGGCCACCCCCTAGTTCTGTTCGTAACACAAAAACAAACATCTGTGCAAAGAATCAGCTAAATTGATCAACGTTAAGAGGTCGCGCCAACGATTCAACGTTATTCAATTTTATTCGGGATTTTCGTCAAATTAGTATAGGAGAAAATGATGACTCATTAAAATCATTCTAACTTTTTTCTTAATGTACCTATTTGCATGAAATTAAAATATGTTATACTTCAATCTATAATAAACAACTTTGTTTAAGGCTACAAGTCGATTTGATGCTCTAGAAAACAGAAATTGGCTTTCGGAACTCAGATTGCAGATAAAACTTGATTTGAGCAGAAAAGCAGTTATGCTGATAGGGCATATTTCATAGCATGCTTTGCCAGATTTTTTTTTACCTCAATGTTTATTAACATATTGTGCTGTCATCTCTGGATACAATAGTGCCATGGAGTTAAGAAGTGATACGGAGAAGTGGTTGATCGATCAGCCCAGTATCAGGTTCACTGGTGGAAGACATCCGAGTAACCGAGAAGTACTACAGTTCTTATTTTTTCATCGGGCACAATCTCGCTCCACGATACGACAATGCTGCTGAAAGGTGGGTCAATCGGCAGAAAACGTTTGGTCAGAGCTTGTTCTGGCAATCGAACCACCTTCCAGCAGCATTGTCGTATCGTGGAGCGAGATTGTGCCCGATGAAAAAAGAAAAGCTGTAGTACTTCTCTGTTACTCGGATGTTTTCCACCGGTGAACCTGGTAATGGGCTAACCGATCAACCACTTCTCCGTATCACTTCTCAACTCCATGGCACTATTGTACCCAGAGATGACAGCATGTTTATATACATTGAGGTAAAAAAATCTGGCATAGCATACTATGAAATATGCCCTATCTGCATACCTGATTTTCTGCTCAAATCAAGCCAATTTCTGTTTTCTGGAGCATCAAATCGACTTGCAGCTTTGAACAAAATTGTTTACAATTGATTTAAGTATAACATATTTTAATTTCATGCAAATCGGTTCATTAAGAAAAAAGTTAGAATGATTTTAATGAGTCATCATTTTCTCCCATTCTAATTTGACGAAAATCCCGAACAAAATTGAAATCGTTGGCGCGACCTCTTAACGTAGACCAATTTAGCTGATTTTTTGTACAGATGTTTGTTTTTGTGTTACGAACTGAACTAGGGGGTGGCCTATCAAAAATATCAATCTTTTTTCAAAATGAAACACCCTATTGTACACGTTTACTAGCCCCACGTAGTGAGAAAATTCTGGGCTACTGTCCACCAGCCAAAAAGTCTTGACTCCCCGAACAAGTTTGCCGAAAACAGTAACTTTCTATCTGCTCAGGATCTCGAGCTGTAGTATAAGCGAGAATTGCATGATCATTTTTTTTGGAACAATGTTTTTTTTTTTATTCCATTTGGGGTCCCAAACAACTGTGCAAAACTTGGGGACGATTGGTTGTAACCCGGCTCTCCGCATTGCATTTGAAATTTGTATGGAAATTAGTATGGGAAAACCTACTTTTTTGCATATTTATTACTAGGGACCACAATTTTGCACAAACCAAGCATCTAAATACGTTTAAGTATAGCCCAGGAAGTGCCTAACAACTTTGCTGAAAAAATGTAATATACTAGAATGCCCCTAAAAAAATTATAGCTGTTCAAAGATCAATGTTTCGAATTAAATGCCAAAAATACCTTTTCTGCCAACACTGCCGGTGTAGCAATGAAAGTCAGAATCCAAATTCGTAGTTAATTATTTTATAGATTTGGTATGTTCAGATGAAGTATTCAAAAACAATAGATCTATCTCATATGTGTAGTTGGAGGCCCGAGTAGCACACTTTCATCACAATAAGTTACTGCTACTTGTTTATGACAAAAATAAGTCGTATATAAGTTTCTACAATTGATTTGTGACAAGCGTGCTACTAGGGAGGGGGGGGGGCTTGTTACTCATAGCAATAGAAGTAAAGTTTGAAACTGAAATAACTTCGGAGTTTCTTATCATATCGATTTGGTATGTTCAGATGAATTATCCGACAACATTTTTTCAATTTCATAGGCAAATTAAGAGATGAAGGGGGGGTTTAACTATACCTCCGCCCCCTCACTCATATAAATGGAGGTAAGGCTTCAAACTGCAATAACTTCAGTGTTTCTGATCTTGTCAAGTTGAAATGTTCAGATGTATTCAAAAACATGTGCTCCGTTTAATAGGCGTAGTTAGATATGGAGGGGCTTACTGTATGCTTTTCGGCGCTCACTTATATCAATGACTAAAATAACTTCAGAGTTTCCCACCTCTCGAGTTGGTCGGATGGGTTATTCAAAAACATTTGCTTAATCTCATAAGAGCAGTTGTAAAGCGAGTACTACCAGTTTCTTCCCTTCTCTTTTGGTGCACTATACAATGTCAGATATATTCACACAAATGTCATTGGATTGCAATGATTATATTTCATTTTAAAATATTTTACGATTTCTCAGGGTACTCTTTTCGATGCTCTTCTATCCTTAGAAGCAAATATTGCTGTTGAACTAGGTCTCGGGTGGGTTTCTTGATAAGTCAAAAATTAGCTTCACCCCTCATTCAGCCATATCGTTGACAACCATCAAGGAAGCAACTCGTTGTATCGTATTGAAATAATCTGTATCATTACTCCACTCGTTTGCCGGTTTTTGCATGAAGCCTGTCGAAATTTCGAAAAGGTATCAGCACTGTTAGAAGTGACGTTTGGCTTGGGAGACCAACTGAAACTTAGCCCACTTAAAGTTAGCCCAACTAGCGAAATCCGACTGTACCTGCGTCTGAGACGAAACTGGTGAAGACAGTTTTCGTTTTCTCTGGTTTTTGGTTCTTGACGTACGACTACTTCTGTGTTTTCTATATGCGGGTGGCCCGAATGGCAGTTTAATATTTCAAATAAAAGCTTCGTATATAAATTTAAAAATGTCCCAGCTGCTAATAAT